CACTCACACACACACAGATACACTCACACACACACACACAGATACACTCACACACACACACACAGATACACTCACACACACACACACAGATACACTCACACACACACACACAGATACACTCACACACAAATAAATATTAAATATTACAACAGCGGTCGAGTAAGTTTTTATTTTTTTGAATACATTTTAGTCTCGTCTTTTTCCGTCAACGAAATTTGCATGTTGATGTAGTCATAGTTATCGTTATTGACCTTATTGTCGTCTCGTCTTCATCTCATCTTAGTCATATGGGGAAAAAAGGCTCGTCAACGAACATTTTTCGTCATAGTTTTCGTTAACGAAATGAACACTAATCTACAGCGACACGCTTCACTCTGATCTCTCTGTTTATGTGTTTCCGTGTCTCCTGATGCTGTCTGTCATTACACTCAGACTCATTAGCACATTTACAGATAATTAGCTTACACACATCCACAGAGTCTGTCCCCGGGTGATTAATGACATTAATATAAGTAATTATAACATTCATTTCCATCAGGTGCAGATCGCTCTCGATTCAAGATGATATCAGAACTGTTCCTGAGATTACAGTCATTGTGGATGTTATTTTCATTGCTTGAAATACACTTGTTGTTTGCACTTGACAGATTTTACATTTACATTTAGACATTTAGCAGATGCTTTTATCCAAAGCGACTTACAAATGAGGACAATAGAAGCAATCAAAACCAACAAAAGAGCAATGATATGCAAGTGCTATAACAAGTCTCAGTTAGACTAACACAGTACACATAGCAAGTTTTTTATTTTAATTATATAATAAATAAAAAGTAAACCGATAGAATAAAAAAAGAATAGTGCAAGCTAGTGTTAGAGGCCTTTTTTTTAAAACTGTATATAATGTCCTACAATCATCTGAGAACCGATTTAAACACATTAACACAGTATTCTGTATTCGGTTTAGCTAATATATCCTCATTTCTCTTTTAGCTGACGTCATATGGAAGCTTCTTGAACTACAGCGTTGCTTATGACACATCTGAGGAAAACGTGGACAAAACGCTTCAAGCTCATTTCAGCGTAATTATTGAGGTGAGATGATAATTATTCTGCATTCATGTCACGCTAGAATTATTGTAATGTTGTATATTGTCTTGTAATCATGAACTTCTGCTTGACTGGAGACTCAGATGGTTTGTTTATCAGGGCCTGTATTCACAAAACATTTTATCTTGCCACTAAGAGTTCTCCTTAATAGCAGCAGAAGTTTTTAGCTATGCACACAATGATTGATTTAATATTTATGAATTAGATTATAAACGTATCCATTTTGTTGCGAGTGCAGTGCGCTTCCAGAGAGGCTCCGCCCACACACGCTTCTGATTGGCTGTGATATTTGATTGATTGATGTGTGGACACCCAAATTGCTTGTCGCTGGACTCTTGTGTAATTAGGACACGGTGTTATATGATGTCACAACAATCAAAAAGAGGAAATGTGAGGCTTAAAACAGAATCACAGCTAGTGTGGTCTATAACTTTGTTTCAGGGAAACGGGCGGATGTTGCGTCAGGCTCGGTCCGCTCGTCTGCTGCTGAACGCTCACACGGAGCAGCGCGTCTCGCTCCAGATGCTGCCGCACACGCTCAGAGACGCTCGCAGCGGGAGCCGCGTTCAGAGAGACGAGCTGATGACGGTGCTGGCGGACGTCGCTGCGCTCAGGGTTCGAGTTCAGCTGGAGGACAGCGCCGAGGGAACGCTCAGGTCACACAGAGATTCACTTCAAACCGGCCTCACATTCACCATTTATAACTTCATCACATAGAAATACAGTGCCGTGAAAAGGTTTTTGCCCCCTTCCTGTTTTTTTTATTTTTTGCATATTTGTCACACTTAAAAGATTCAGATCATCAAACCAATTTTAATATTACGCAAAGATAATGCAAGTAAATACAAAATGCAGTTTTTAAATGATAATTTAATTTATTAAGGGAAAAAAGCTGTCCAAACCTACCTGGCCCTACGTGAAAAATGTATTGCCCCTCCTCTTAAATCATGAAAGAACTGTGATTAACCACATCATTTTAGAAAGCTGAGTTAAATTTCACTAGCCACACGCAGGCCTGATTACTGCCAGACCTGTTGAATCAAGAAATCACTTAAATACAACCTGTCTCCCAAAGTGCAGCATGCTTAAAGAGAGAACATCACAGCAACAGTCAAGCATGGTGGTGGTAGTGTGATGGTCTGGGGCTGCTTTGCAGCTTCAGGACCTGGATGACTTGCCATAATTGATGGAACCATGAATTCTGCTCTCTATCAGAAAATCCTGAAGGAGAATGTCCGGCCGTCAGTTTGTGACCTCAAGCTCAAGCGCACTTGGTTTATGCAGCAGGACAATGATCCAAAACACACCAGCAAGTCCACCTGTGAATGGCTCAAGAAAAAAATAATTAAGGTTTTGGAGTGGCCAAGTCAAAGTCCAGACTTAAATCCGATTGAGATGCTGTGTCATGACCTTAAACAGTCCATTCATGCTCAAAAACTCTCCAATGTGGCTGAATGAAAACAATTCTGCAAAGAAGAGTGGGCCAAAATTCCTGTGAAAGAGTCATTGCCATTTATCGCAAACGCTTCACTGCAGTTGTTGCTTCAAAGGGTGGCACAACCAGTTATTATATTTAGGGGGCAATTACTTTTTCACGTAGTGCCAGGCAGGTTTGGACAGCTTTTTTCCCTTAATAAATGAAATCATAATTTCAAAACTGCAGTTTGTATTTACTCAGGTTATCTTTGTGTAATATTAAAATTTGTTTGATGATCTGAATCTTTTAAGTGTGACAAATATGCAAACAATTAAAAAAACAGGAAGGGGGGCAAAAACTTTTTCACACCACTGTATATAGGACACATTCAGTGTCTGGCCATTGCGTATGACGCATTTGATGCCTTTGGCATGAGAGAAAGTTAAAAAAAATCATATTCATATATATGCATATTCATTTATTCAGCAGATGCTTTTATCCGAAGCATCACAAGCATTTTGTCATAAATGGAATTATTTGTACTGGCCATAATTTATTTTACATTATTTGATAATTTATTTATTTTTATTTTATATATTATTTATGCAAATACATAAAAATGTTTATATATTGTTTATTTATATATTATTTGTTATTATTAAAATATTAATATATGTAATTATTAATAATGTTATATTATTATTATTTTATAATAATTAATAATAATCATAGTTATTTTATAATTTTACATATATAGTTGTGCTCATAAATTTACATGCCCCTTGCAGAATATGCAAAATGTTAATAATTAACATTCAAAATAATAATAATAATAATAATAAAAAAAATCATGAAAATACTGTCCTACTACTGTCCTGAATAAGCTATTTCACAGATGTTTATATATTCTCCACAAGACAAAATAATAACTGAATTTATACAAATGACCCCGTTCAAAAGACTTAATGCAAAAGTTTTTATATAAAAAATGATGTACTATATATTATGTATTATTTATGTAAATAAATTGTAGTTATTTTATTTATTTGTTATTATTAGATATATTAACAATATTTGTAATTATTAATAGTATTTGTTATATTATT